TCTGCCACGCCATGTGGTCACCTCCGGGGCAGGCGGGGATCGAACTGATGCAGAAGTGGCTTAAGCTTCTTAGTGCTGTGCTTTAACCTGTTGCGCCACAAGGGAGGGCCCCCAGCAGGCTATTCTAATGGGCCTTGCTGGTTGGCCGATACTTGGTTGGGCCGGCATTACAGCTCATCTCCCCTGCCCAACCTGTCACCCTTCCACAAGCTCCCTTCCTTTGACCCTTAATAAACATCTTGCACCCAAAGTTTCATCTTTGCATCTGCTTCAGTTTGTGACATGGTGAGGGTGGGGGTCCAAAATGGCTGTATTTCTAGTTGGGGAATCTGAAGAATAATGATGCTAGGAACTGAGATAATGAGACCTAGGAGAGAAGGAGCAGATTTGGGCCATGACAACATGTGTGTAGTATTGCCCGGTAGTCTGGGATGCCTGACAGAAGGCTGACCAGTAGGCCTGAGATGACATGCAAGGGCCAACACTCACAATCAGTCAGGACTGGAAACACCAACTTGTAGTGAGTGACTAGGATATAGAGCAGGGAGTAGGCGAAGCTGTTAGAGGGCAGAAACTCACATGGGGAGAATCAGAAAAGAAAGTGGAGGATGGTGAGCCCCATGGCTCATCACCACATTAGGTGAGGCCAAGCAGCTCTTGCCTACAGGAGCATCCTGTGCAGTGGGAAGTTGAGACACACAATGCAAATGGCAGCGTCAAAGGAGCCACAGAGGCTAGCATCAAGCCCTGCCTTCATGGTTTGCCATCAAGACTCAAGGTAGAGAAGACACTGTGGTCTCCACGGAAAGATCCCTGGATCAGGGGTAAAGGTACACTCAGACCCAAGATGGCCATCCATCTTCTCTCAATAAATGAAGGTAGTTATTTAACAACAACAACAAAAACAAAACAAAACAAAACAAACAAACAAACAAACAAAAAAAACAACCCTGCACGTTAGAGAGTAATTCTCCTAAGAAGAGGGAAACACCATGGCCTGTTTTGCAGAGTCCTACGTCTGTAGGCCCAGCTGAGCAGATTCTGCAAAAATCACAAACACTACTCACTGAAGTTGAATTTTTATTCCAAATGTCTGTAATGTCTAGAAAGACAAGAGCTAAAACTGAAAACAAATTGGCTAACTGGAAATTAGAAGATGATTTGTAACAGAGCAGAGTGGGGAGGCAGTCTTGGCACTCTGACAAGTTATAAGTTACAAAGCATAAAAATAACCATTGTCTTTCGGACACAGTCTGTATATGCAGCATTTACAGCAAATAACATAAAAACAGAGGAAAGATGAAAGGAAAAAGAAAAAAAGAGAGAAAAGTAAAATCCCAAACCTCAGAAATTAACATTCACTTCAGAAAGCAACAGTGGAGATTTCTGGTAGCAAAATTTTCGCAATTTTTAAAATGGAAGTCTTTGAAAGTACTTCTTTAAATCCCAAAGCTAAAAAAACCCAAGAGGGAGCAGTTATACACTGGCTTAGAAGAGCTGCATCTGTGAGGAAGAAAACCATCAGTCCTTCTTCCCAACACAGTGCTAGCCGGCCAGCCTGACACAGCAGACAGAGGCCGGCCGACCGGCGTGTTACTGATTGTGCAGGACACGCGGGGCCACGGGCCACTTCGCAGCCGCGACAGCAGCCACAGCTACTGCTCCTCCTCGCTGATGCCCAGGTTGCTTTTCTGCACCTCCAGTTCCTCAGCACTGACCATTGACGGGTCAATGGCTGCGTATTTGGTTCCATGGAATTGCAGCAAATGTATCTGCAGAAACATTATTTTAATGACAGCATGGAGATGTTTTGTAGTTACAGAGCAATATATATTAGAGAGAAATAGGCAAACATAGAAAAGCCAAAGGAAAAATTTTTAAATGCAAATTTGGGATCTTTGTTCCTCCCT